AAGATAAATTCTCTAGAAGATTTTCGTCAGCATTTTACACAAGATATTTGTGTCTAAATATGCACGGCGCATGTCACTTTTTAAATGAAATTTTAGATGTATTTTTATACAATATTTATATTTTAAATTTTTAACATACTTTTTTGAACAACTATTATTTATATATACAAATTATTTGAAAAAAGATGCACAATTTAAAATATTGCACATGACCCCATTTTTTATTGGAACGACCCTGCTCTTAGTACGTTTAAATTCCAAATTTGAGATCTTACAAGAATTGTAATATCAACATAAAAATTAATTTTCTTACAATAAACAAACATAAGTTCATTAATGCAAAATTTTTAATCTGTGCATCGCACGGGTATCATACTAGTATTAATTAAAGAGTTCTTTTTACACACATTTGAGAATTATTTAATTTTTTTCACATGATCAAACTGAGTATCTATATTTCTCTTATTTCTAACATCATTTCCAAAATAAAATGTGTGCATTATAAATTTGTATTATGAATGTAAATATAATAATTTATACAATTTCCTAGCTAATATTTTGTTTTTAAAGTGTAGATAATGGAAATTCTAATTAGTTTTCAAAGTGGATTGAATTAATATATAGGAGATATTTTAATTATATAGTGTAGCTAGGGAGTGAATAGAATTGAAATGGAGTGCGTGAGGTAGTGTATGAGGGAGTTGAGGATCAGAGTGAGGACGACAACAATGCAAGTATATAACGTAAGAATATATATATATATATAATTGCATTGCACCAACTAACAAAACAATTTATTATACTAGCTAGCGATCAGATATGGAGTTGCATTGCATGTATAATGTAACGTGTGGTTAAGTGGAAATGATTCATCCATCCTTAATCAAAGATCAAGTGTTTGATCTTAGGTTTTTATCGGAAGCTTCACATGCAGAATCGAGAAGGAGAAAAGAAGGAAAAGAATAGTTTATTGTTATGTTCTTTTTGTTACAAAGATCACCAGTAACCTCAACATATATATAATGAAGATAAAAGTCTAATATTGTAACTGCCTAAGATAAGGAAAGAACATAAAAGTCTATTTTATACTGTTAGAATTTAGGAATGAATTAATGCATGATTTTTGGAGTCTAATATTTAGGAATGAATTGCTGCGTGATTTTTGGAGTCTAATAACCCCCCCCCCCCCCCCCCCCCCCCCAATAAACTGGAGCATAGAGGTCCTCAATGCCCAGTTTAGACTTGAAGATATGAAATGCTGGAGAGGGTAATGCCTTGGTCAGACCATCTGCAATCTGCGTAGAAGAGGAAACATACAATAAATTGATGAGACCTTGGTTGAGCCTTTCACCAATCATTATTGCATGGACCATAAATAAAAGGTACATTTTTAATATACTAAGGGTACACTATTTATGTACGTAAGGTACATTTTTGAAAGGTACATTTTTAGTATACTAAGGGTAATGTACATTCAGTACAAAAATAATGTAATTTTAATATATTAAAAATGTATATGATATTCATGGTCCATACAATTGTGGACCAATAATTTGCCCACTTTCACAGTGCCAATTATGGTAGACTATTACCCGCCATACGTACGGTTTGTCGGTCGGGACATATAGGGGACGTGGCGCCCGTTTGATACCGACCGGCCACACCGAGCGGACCCACACGGAAGACCCGACCGCTTCGGTTGGGGCGGAATCCCACGCAAAAACGACATAAGGCCTACGCCACGTGGCAATGCTCCTTGGCAGAGGGCCCACGAGTGCAAGGCGGCCACGCGACCAACATGCCGAGACCCCGAACCTCCGCCCTTAACCCCTATAAATACCCGCATTTATGACACTGAGAAGGGGGGGGGGGGGACTCTTAGCTTGACCAGGAGTTGTTCGACCCACTGTTGACCACCCCGAGCTCAAGCCCTAGACACACGTACGGGACCATAGTTGCATCCGTATATCCTTTATCATTTTGGCGCCGTCTGTGGGGATCGGTACAAGAAGCCGCTTAGTACGATAAGTACCGATCCCAACGCTATGTATCCGTTCGTGAACACACGCAACGACGCGGAAGCTGAATCGAGCTCCTCGGACTTTCGGTCACATCTCAGTTCACGACTGGATCTCAATAGCTCCTCGGGGAGAGGCCCGACCCTCGACCCCGTCAATGTCATCCAGCAGGGGCAGACCTACCCCGCATTGGCAGGGCAGATACCTTTCTAGTACCCCGCGTACCCTCCCTGAACATATCTGCTTCTTGGACTGAAGTAATGTAAGTTGCATTCTTGAAACCGTAACTTCTGAATGAAAGATTACTTTACAAAAATCACTTGTTCATATATTTTACATCAATTTCCTGCTTTAACTCTTCCCTGAATGGTTATTCTGATTTCCCATTTTCTTATTCCCTGAACATATCTGCTTCTTGGACTAAAGTAATGTAAGTTGCATTCTTGAAACCGTAACTTCTGAATGAAAGATTACTTACAACAATCACCTGTTCATATATCTTACATCTATTTCCTGCTTTAACTCTTCTGTGTAAATTGCCCATTTTCTTATTCCCTGAACGTATCTGCTTCTTGGACTGAAGTAATGTAAGTTGCATTCTTGAAACCGTAACTTCTGAATGAAAGATTACTTTACAAGAATCACTTGTTCATATATCTTACATCTATTTCCTACTTTAAATCTTGAATGGTTATCGTGTGATCTGATATATCTTATATCTTATACATTCATATATAGATTAAATGCCCTGAACATTATTTGATTCTCTATATTCTCATAAAAAAAATCATTACATTTAATCGGGAAATATGAAAAATTATCGGGCCATGGATGCACTGGCCGCCACGGATGCACCTCCTGCCACGGATGCACCTCCTACCACGGATGCACCTGCTCATCCCGCTCATCTTCCTATAGTACCTGATCGTCCCTGTCTTCCTATAGGACCTGTTCGTCATGCTCGTCATCCTATAGAACATATAAGATCAATCAGGTGTAATTCTGAGAGTGACTGACCCGATAATCAAGCTACCTACTTTCAGGTAGTAACACTACTTTCTAGCTTACCTACTTTGAGGTAGTATCCTAAATGCGTTATTTTTATGTGCAGCGCCAAAACAATAAATAAGAGATAGAAGTTAGCTACTCTTGCTGCTTGTGCGACTACTCATGGAAGGAGGACCAGTAAAAGAAATATGATTGTGCAACATTCATATTTTCCCTTCTCATTCAAGAAACACTCACATGTTGAAGATTAAATACCCTGAACATTATTTGATTCTCTATATTCTCAAAAATCATTACGTTTAATCAAACAATATGACCGTAGTCGCTTATCGGGTGACGTAGAGAAGAAATTCGAACTTATGACCTTTGGTCTGGCTCTGATACCAAATTGAAGTATGTGCTCCATCTAAACTAAAAGCCTAAGCTGATAGTTAGATTGCACATTAATGGCTATATGCTCAACACGTCCCGTCACGTGTGCGGTGGGTTCCAAGCAACACGTGGGCCGTAGTCGCTTATCGGGTGACGTAGAGATTTGAACCCATGACCTATGTTTTGGCTCTGATACCAAATTGAAACATGTGCTCCATCTCAACTAAAAGCCTAAGCTAATAGATAGGAACATGAGCATTAATGGCAAATTGAAACATGTGCTCCATGCACCGGCCGCCACGGATGTACCTCCTGCCACGGATGCGCCTACTCGTCCCACTCATCTTCCTATAGTACCTGATCGTCCCTGTCTTCCTATAGGACCTGTTCGTTATGCTCGTCGTCCTACAGGACATATAAGATCGATAGGTGTAATTCTGAGAGTGACTGTCCCGGTAATCAAGCTACCTACTTTCAGGTAGTAACACTTTACTTCCCAGCTTACCTACTTTGAGGTAGTATCCTAAATGCGTTATTTTTATGTGTAGCTCCAAAACAATAAACAAGAGATAGATGTTAGCTACTCTTGCTGCTTGTGCGACTACTCATGGATGGAGGACCACTAAAAGAAATATGATTGTGCAACATTCATATTTTCCCTTCTCATTCAAGAAACACTCACATGTTGAAGATTAAATACCCTGAACATTATCTGATTCTCTATATTCTCAAAAATCATTACATTTAATCAGGCAATATGACCGTAGTCGCTTATCGGGTGACGTAGAGAAGAGATTCAAACTTATGACCTTTGGTCTGGCTCTGATACCAAATTGAAGCATGTGTTCCATCTCAACTAAAAGCCTAAGCTGATAGTTAGATTGCACATTAATGGCTATATGCTCAACACGCCTCCTCACGTGTGCGGTGGGTTCCAAGCAACACGTGGACCGTAGTCTCTTATCGGGTGACATAGAGATTTGAACCCATGACCTATGATTTGGCTCTGATACCAAATTGAAACATGTGCTCCATCTCAACTAAAAGTATAAGCTAATAGATAGGAACATGAGCATTAATGGCAAATTGAAACATGTGCTCCATGCACCGGCTGCCACGGATGTACCTCCTGCAACGGATGCACCTACTCGTCCCGCTCATCTTCCTATAATACCTGATCGTCCCTCTCTTCCTATAGGACCTGTTCGTCATTCTCGTCGTCCTACAGGACATATAAGATCGATCATGTGTAATTCTGAGAGTGACTGTCCCGGTAATCAAGCTACCTACTTTCAGGTAGTAACACTTTACTTCCCAGCTTACCTACTTTGAGGTAGTATCCTAAATGCTTTATTTTTATGTGCAGCGCCAAAACAATAAACAAGAGATAGAAGTTAGCTACTCTTTCTGCTTGTGCGACTACTCATGGAAAGAGGACCAGTAAAAGAAATATGATTGTGCAACATTCTAACTCAAAGTCAAACTCCATATATTTTCTGCAAGTGCAAAACTCAGGGATGCTGAAAACCCCATTTATGCATTGATGTTCTTAGTATGTGTAGAAGTTGGAACAATTAATTTCATCATTGTAATCACGATTGAGTGATCTCTTCCGGGGTGTTTTTTCTTTACCTGAAACAAAGTATAAAAATACCATAATAAGCTCATCATCTTGCTTTTGAAAAAGAGAGTGAAATATTTTTACATTTGATGGACAGGTGAGGGAACAGGGCAGAGAGGGAATCCATGTTTAGGCATTATGCAATTTGTAACATGAGTAATTTGAGGTTGGACTGCACACATGGTCATGATTAATTGGCAATAAGACACATAATGTAACCAATGAATAACTACTTATCAAGTACAAATAGTATTATTCAGAAATGTATTGTTAGCAGACATGCAATGATTGTCAAAGACAGACTAGACATAAGATTTTTCACTAGTGTCAATTCAAACAAGTATCAAATGTTTATGTTATGCTCTACTGGGAAAAAGTACACTTACATAGAACCAGCCATCAACTTCATATTCAATTTCAACCTCTTCTCCTGCTGTCAGATTTAACTGCAAAAGGAAGATATACAAGTTAGCTCCAAACTTCAGGAAACATAGAAACAGAGATCCAAAAACAACAAATCAAGTCAGAAATAAAAATAATTGTCATTGTGAGCATGCACACGCATTCAGAAAGTTCTATTGAATCCAAATATCCAATAACATTATTTTTGGAAAAGGAGATCTACAATGTTGATGATCCTACCTCATCATCACCACCAGCAGTGAAGTCATAAAGTGCTGAACCAAACTGAAGATGCATGTTCATCATCATGTGATCCAAAACTGTAGGAACCAGAACTGGCTAAGGGGTTCTCAAACGACTCATTTCTTTCATGGATTGGTGAAGAATATGGTAGAGGCTCTTCCCGTATCTGGAAATGCTTTAATATGAAAACTTACAGATAAATAAAAATATACAAGATAGGAATCAGTTATGAGGCCTTACTGGAGAGCCAAGACCACCATAAGAACTGCCATAAGAATTATTAGAATACTGTGACCCACCCGATCTATCCCGTCAAAGGAAGGAGAAATTAAATTGTGCATTAGAAAATGAATGACACATATACACAGAAGTTCCATATGATATCTTCAGTCACCATCTACACTCCAAGGGAAATTCCTCTTCACACAATCTAATCAGCAAAACATGACAAAAGACAAGGGGAAAAAAATAAAATTGATACAGGAATGTGGACAGGCTTCCATTAAATTTTTTCTTCCACCCAAACTAGCAGAATGTTTCCAACCATCAGGAACCTTCCAACTCTTTCTACAAGAGAAATTCAACCAAAAAAAAAAAACAGAACAAAGAAAGAAAAAGAGAAAGAACAACAAAGGAAATACTAACATAAAAAACTATGCAACATTAAAATTCAAATTCTTATAAGCAATAACTATACCTAGTCAGTCCATAGAGAGTTCTCAACTATTTGCACTAAATCTAAGAACCAAGACCATTTTTAAAAATAAACCTAAGAACAATATGTTTCGTTGATATTAAACAGACATTTGTTTGAGAAGACACATAGGTAGTTGGCTTGGAACTGAACAATGAGGGATAATTCATTCCACCAAAGTGTGATGATATGGATGTCTCAACTAATCCTATTGAATCTGGTGATGAAGAGCCAGATGATTTCACATCATCTTCCTGCAGCAAGTCAAAATTATATTAGAGGACCTTACTACTACAGTCCTACAAAATGTTTGTAATGAGCATAGATGGTAGAATAGGTTACAAAATACCAACCTCCATTTCTGAAGTCTCCAGGAGAGTCTTAGCCCACATATCATCGTAACTCATTGAAGGTCTAGAAACAACATTTTCCTCATAGACATCAGGGGCATCAGTACCAGCACCAGCAAGAAATTCATTAACCTATGGGGTTGGAAGGTTAAAAGAATTTACATGAAACACATATAGGAAGGTGTTATTCACCTATTTTATCATAACCAAATACATAAAAGAACATCATGGAAAGGAAATTAAAAGAAAGTTTCAGTTTGGCAGAAAATGATCCTTTCATGTAACTAGGCTAACAAAAGTCATATAAAGCCTCTATTCTAGAGGATTCCATTGAATCATACTGTTCTAAGTTCTAACTACCAAAAATGACAGTATGACACACATCACTTTTTAAGATTCTGAAGATGATTAAGTTCATTATATACAAGGCACAAGGACCATATCATTCAAAACTTCCCTCCACATATGTTTATCATTATTTGTTGGCACAAAACTAAATATGAGAATTAGACACGAGGCAAGTCATGGGTATTTCTCAAAATAGTTTTTTTGCATGAACCAAAAACCAGATGATGGTGGCAAAACTACAGATGTAGAAATGCAGCCACAGTGTTGCATGACAATAAAATCATCATCAGCTAGTCACAGATACAAGTTTTTCAGAGAAGGTATTGTGAACCAGAAAAGCAATGTTGCAATTGGTGATAAAAGTTGCCAGGACACCAAACTATCAAATTTATTTCTTTTATTTTGTACTTGAACCGCAAAAACTAAATAAATACTTAGTAGAAAACTGGGAATAAAATAAATCATAATAAAAATAATGAAAGTAGTTCCTAATGTTACAGTTAATGGCATAACATCACTAACATGAATCAATATAAACAAGCATTAACAATTCAAAAATAAGATGAATCATTTATGATGAAAAGAAAGCACAGGCAATGCCTGTTCTATTCAGCATGCAAGAAAAAGTGAATGTCATTTGTTATAACAGTGAAAATCTCACTTTCCATAGTAGTTGTAGCACATCTGCATCAATCTTGCCAGGAACTTCGGTTGCAAAAATTCTTGCTATTTCTAAAAAGGTAACTGCCATATCAGGAGTTTCCTGGCAAATTAATACCAAAGAGAGCATGAGTGCAAAGCACTATGGACACAAATGATATGAGTACAGAAAAACAAGTTTAAGCAGAATATATATATATATATATATATATATATATATATATATATATATATATATATATATATATATATATATATAAAATAAGCATAAAAAATAAAAAGATTGAGACACATTCAAACAATTACATATTCAGAAGTAGAGACAGCAAATTCAGTACCAGTACCAAGAAACATATTAAAGGTTCATATTATTAAAAAATGTAGGGAAAGCATTAGAAGAATTTGAAAAGTACTTGAAGCAAACATAAATATAACTTAAATGTGGGTGAGAGACTGTCACAGCCCTGCAAACTTGCCCAAAAAATGCAGAACAGAATTGGGGATAAAGGGGAAGAAGAAGAAATTTAGGGTTAAGGAAAGAAGAGATGTAGGGTTTTTGATTTCTCAGCAATTCTATAAAAAACAAGCATAAAAAGAGAAAACAACATTCTCAAAATAAATAAGAAGAAGCTAGGCTAAAAAACAAAGGAATCTTCAACAAACTCCACCATTCTCGCTTGGCATCTGAGAATGCTCTAAAACGGCGTCGTCTGATGGAACACGCAACCGCTCCCAACTGCCACTTCGCAACGACGTCGTTTGGTTTATTAACTCCGACGGTCCCAACGACTGAATGCTGTCGTTTAAATAAGTGACTCGATTGCTTAATTCCGGCTCCAAACGACAGCGTTTTGGTCCCTCGACTTTCCCTTCTTCACTTGGCTTTATAACCATCAATCCCTCCTAATCTTCAATTGCCATTCCCTCCTTCAATTCCTCCATTTCACCACTCAAGTTCATGACATTACCCCCTCCATCACCAGATCCTTGACCTCAAGGATCAAAGTTGGGAAATTGCTTGGTGATGTGGTGATAGTTTTCCCATGTGGCAGCCTCAGGAGGTAAGTTTGCCCATTGCACAAGGATTTCTACCACAGCTGCATTGTTCTTCTTAATCAATCTTTTCTGTCGGGCTGCTATAGGCTGGGTGAGAATCATGCATTCTAAGTCAGTGGAGGGTAGCTCTGACTGTGCCACAACTCCATCCCCAACTCTTTTCTTTAGCAATGAAACATGGAATACAGGGTGGATTGCAGCCTCCCAGGAAGTCTCAACTTGTATGCTACTGGCCCAATCTTTTCAATTACTTCAAAAGGTCCATAGAACCTAGCTGTTAGTTTGAGGTTGGATCTCATAGCCACATAAGATTGTTTGTAAGGCTGTATTTTGAGGTATGCCCAATCTCCCACCTCAAAGCTTCTTTCAATTCTGTGCCTGTCTGCTTGTTCTTTCATCCTAGCTTGAGCTTTTGAGAGATTTTCCTTAAGAATGGCAATCATCACAGCCCTTTCTCTAAACCAGTCCTGTCCTTCACCTTCTGAGATGACCTTAAAGGTTAAATAGGGTGGAGTGTAACCATATAGGGCCTGGAAGGTGGTACACTTGAGGGATGTGTAAAAATTGGTGTTATACCAATATTCTGCCAAATGTAGCCATTTCAGCCAAGTTTTGGGCTTATGGAAGACCATGCACCTTAGATATGTTTCAACACACCTGTTCACCCTCTCAGTTTGACCATCTGACTGAGGGTGATAAGACGAAGTCATGCTTAACTTAACCTGCATAAGTTTGAATACTTCCTTCCAGAACTTACTCACAAATATTTTGTCCCTGTCACTGACTATATCTTGAGGTAGACCATGAAGCTTGTAGATGTTTTCCATGAATAGATCAGCCACTATCTCAGCTGTGAATGGGTGAGAGAGAGCTAGGAAGTATCCATACTTGGTGAATCTATCCACTACAACCATAATGACATCTTTTCCCTGTGACTTGGGCAATCCCTCAACAAAATCCATAGAAATGCCTTGTCAGGCTTGTTCTGGGATAGGTAATGGTTGCAATAGACCAGGGTAGGCTGTATTCTCTTCCTTACACCCCTGACAGACATCACAACCCTTAACTGCTTGGATTACCTCTTTCTTCATTCCCTTCCAGTAAAAAATCTGCCTGAGCCTGTGGTAAGTGACTTGTTGTCCAGAATGGCTCCCCATAGGTGAGTTATGCATCTGCTTTACTATTCTTTTTCTCAAGTCGCCTGAACCCCCAACATATAGTCTGCCTTGGTGTTTGATCAGTCCCTCACTGATAGTAAAGAGGGACTCTGGATCTGCTACAATCACCTGCTCAGTCAAAATTTTAGTGGCCAATTCATCTTCTTCATAACTCTTCAGAATTTCCTCCTATAGTGGCCTAGCCACTGAAATTGCTTTTAGTTCAGCCTGTTTCTCATTTCCTCTTCTGGACAAAGCATCTGCAACACAATTCTCTGTTCCCTTTTTATATTGAATCTCATAGCTTAACCCCAAAAGTTTGGTAAGCCCCTTCTGTTGCATAGCTGTGGTGATATTTTGTTCTAGCAAAAACTTTAAGCTTTGATGGTCAGTTCTAATTATAAAATGCCTCCCACACAAATAAGATCTCCATTTGTCTATAGCATTGATAATGGATAGATATTCCTTCTCATAGATAGATAACCCCAGGTGCTTAGGACCAAACCCTTTACTATAGTAGGCTATTGGTTTACCCTCCTGCATGAGCACTGCCCCCATGCCCTTATAACATGCATCAGCTTCCACCACAAAAACCTTATTGAAGTCAGGTAGGGCAAGGACTGGTGTTGAACATAACTCACTCCACTGGAATGCATTCTTCCTAAGAATATCAGTCAGGGGTCTACTTAAGGTTCCATAGGACTTAATGAACCTTCTGTAGTATCTAGTGAGCCCTAAGAAACCTCTCAATTCCTTAATGGTAAGAGGTTTAGGCCAAGCTGAC